CAATCTCTCTGCAAGGAATTTTGATTTGGAACCAGTAGTGCCCTTGAAAAGCGGGAGGTGCAGACCCTTTCAAAAACAACGTCCGCATCGAGAGGCCTCAGCACCACCGCGGAGACCGAATTCTACCTGGCGGGCTGTGAGCTCCTCTGGGCGGCCGGCGCCCTGCTCTGCCTGATGCGGTGGCCACGGCGACTGGGCAGGTGTTGTCCTAGCAGCTCGTTTATACCAAGTCCTTTGCGAAGCATTCTGTGGGGCATGTGTCAATGGCCTGTGCTCACCTGGCCTCCAAGACAGATAGGGGACGTCATCAGTGTGTCTCATTGCTTTCGACATCTGGGAGAGAAAAGGAAACCTGTGCCTCTACTATTGGATAGAAATGATGTTAACCAGATTTCAAAGGTGGAAAGACGAGGGCTCAGAGAAAGGAACTTTTGCATCCAGGTGATGCTCATCGCAAGATAATCGTGTACCTTCGGGTGTGAGAGCGTGAGCATGGCCAACACCTGGCCCAGACCTCATTGCATTACACGAAGTGCCGTCTTCACACGGTTTTGTGGAGTTTTACCCTGAAAGCGTCGTCTGTGCAGGCGTTTATCTCACTGCCTGGACCCTGGAGGTCCCTCTTCTCGGTCGTCCCACTGGTTTCTTTTGTTTGGAGCAACTGAAGAAGGAATTCAAGAAATCTGCTTTAAAGTCCTGCAGCTTTGTACTCGTGAAGGGTAACCTGACACACCTGAGAAGCGAAGCCAGAAGAGAAAGTGCGATCCAAGAGACCAAGGCGCAAGTGGAGGGGTAGCACGTGGGTCGTAGATGGCGCTGCGGGGTTCTCGCCTGCCCCACGCTGGTAGGGTTACCCGGAGGAGGCCGAGGAGACAGGCCTCCCCCACTGTCTGTGAAGAATGTGAGGAAGTAATTGGAGGGAACAGAGAAAGCCGAAGCTGACAGCCCCGGGAACCTCTTGCCAAAGGCAGAGAGAGATGAAGTTGGCGGAGCAGGAGCGGGGGCAGACTCTTCAAGGTCCCCACTGAGATCCACTTCTTCCAAGAGGAGGAAGGGCACCAGGGCTCAACCCCCTTCTGGTCAGAGCCAGGTGACTGCCGGTCAGATGGGCACTTCTGGCCTTCCGTGCAAAGACTCTCTGTGTCCTTGGACTGCTAATATCCACCCGAGTCTTGGAGCCAGACCTCAACCCAGGCTGTCTGATTAGAGGATAACTTGTTTGTTTGTGATCTTAGGAAGGAAGTCTCTTTCTGGGAGAAGAGCTCTTCTGTAGTAGCGTCCGTGGTAGAAGCCCTCATTAGTGAATGGAGAATGGGATATGTCCTTGTAAATATTCCAATTGCATGTCTAGAGTTACTCAATTATAAATACATTTGAAAGTTGTGTCGATCATGGTAACTGTGATTTATGAAATGAAAGAATTGATGAGATTAGTTAAGACATAGCTTCAGATTTATAAAGGCTTTTAGTCTGAAACTCTCTGGAGAGGAAATAGACTTCCACATGCAGGATGTTACTGTGAATATTCCTTGACATTTCAATTTATCTAGCAAATAAGTAGGAAGGTGTAACTACGAACCACTGATGAATACATGTTAATGATAGAGAAATTTCATAAAGCCCCAAATAATAAATTAATAAATGGTAATATTTGGAGAAGAAAGATGTGTTAACTTTTTCTGTCTACCCATCGATAGATCATTTAAAAGTTCTTGGATTTTTCCCTCCATCTTTAAAACTAGAGCGATAGTAACGATGATGATGTGTCCATTCTGCTTCCCAGGCATGTTTTGAGAATTCTAAACTACTGCACGCTAATAAAGATGTATTTTATTATAAACATTCTAACTTCCTCCTTTGGTTTTTTGGAGAAATGTATTTTACTGAAGATTCTGTGGATGTTCTGTTTTTTTCAAATTTTACTTTCTTCAGTGATTTTTCTTCTTTTCAAGCTGCTGGCTTTTAAATATGAAAGTCTCGATATTTGTCACATTAGCATTGGTAATACTCCTTGTAACCTGTGAAAATTGTGATTAAATGCTTTCTGGGTTACGATTATTTAATATTGGACACATTTTTTCCTCAGTGGATTCTGAAATTTTCTTCTGTGCATAAAAGCTC